ATTGCCACATTATTTTCTAGTTTTTTTGGCACTTTATTCTTAGGATTGTTTTTACTTGAAAGGTAATTCGTGGAAATTTTTTCTAGTTTTGATCTCTTGTGACCGTTGTTGTTAGTGTATTTTTTCGGAACAGATTTTGGTGGCTTACGATATGAAACTTTTAAAAACTCCAGAAATAATTGCAGGTTGATATTTAAATCTTTTATTTGTATGTTTATTATTGCTTCTCTACGGTGGATTTTGAAATCATAATGGAAATAGTTTGTGAAAAATTTAGTTCTCTCTTAGCATTTTCAACCTCTGTACTGAATATTAGAGTCTTGTTGATTTAATAAAATAAGTTTGTTATGCTTTTCAACTGATTCAAATCTGGCATGGCTATCATTAACATGCCTTCTAAAATATTATGGTGAAAAGCTGTTGATTTTTGCAATTCGTAGAGCTCTTGTTTCCAACTTTTGTAAGAATGCCTCTGTAATAACAACCATCAGTGAAAATCCAATTGGATCTGAATTAGGCATGGTTCTAATTTCATTTTTATACAAAAATTAACATTGAATACGACGTAGTTCTATTAATTAGTGGATGTAAGTAAGTGTTAATTTGGTTCTTGTTTTAAGATCAGTTATATAATTATTAAGATAACCAATTATCACGGGTATGGCTTTATCAATTGATATTGACGTGTACTAAGCTAATACATCATACAATACTTGAACTGACACACCATGATTTTGCTTCGTTGACAAATGATGTAGAACTCAACAAGCTTGTTTTTTTTTGTTTTGTTTAGGATAGGCTGAATAATCTTAAAAGATATACTGAGGTTCCATACGGAGGAGTGCCGATGGTAGAAACTACTGGTCGCATTGAATAATTTTTTTCCGACGTTCCGGTGTCGTACAAATTTATTTCCCCCCTAAATTTATTTCCGTGGCGCAAGTTTCGGTTACTAAGAAAATAATATTACGCGGCTTACGCATAAAATTGTTTCCCGACATAAATTTATTTCCGATGTGGAAATAAATTCGCAGAACATTCTACAACAACTGAATATACAATAGTAATCAAAAATTTACAGTACGTGGCCATTGAAATAGGGCCATCACGTTTTTTGTTATATTGTCAGCATTAATTCACCTTTCAAACGTAAAATTCACAATTTTTCATAATTATTTACGACATTATTACAAATTATTGTGTAGGCAACACTATTTTGTTGCTAGCAACACTGTATTTTGCATGTTTTGACAAGTAAAACCGTGAAATTGTGTTCAGTTACCATTTGTAGATTGCCGACGCTTGTCGTGTGTGTGTTAAGGATCTTTCTTCAAACGTTATTTTTACCGACTATTTTTCAAAATTTTATTTTTTTAAGTGTTTTATTTAGTGAAAGACTTCTTTGAATGTAGTTTTTCCAAAAATATACATTATTTCAACTTTTTTAATTTTCTTTTACATATTTTTGTAGTGTGTTAATTTGTCTTTTAGATTTTTTAAAGTTTCTGACAATGGGTAAAAAAAAAGATGTGAATGTTTGTAAAAAAAGTGAAATAATGTCACTTTTAAGGAACACCAACTATTCTCAACGAGGAATTTCAAGAAGAGTTGGCGTTTCTAGGCAGACCGTGCAAAGAATAGTATCAAAAATAAAAAATGGTGAAAACCCTATATCCACACTCCGTAAAAACTGTAAAGGAAAACACCTTACAACGCCAAGGTCTGAGAGAATTATCAGGAATATTTGCTTGAAGAATAGAAAGAAACCCAGAAAAATAATCACAACATTGATTAAAGATGCTGGAATTAATATTAGTGATCGTCAGGAGACGCTTAGATGAGTTAAGCTTTAAGTGTTACCGTCCTGCGAAAAAACCAAAATTAACGCCTGCCATGAAGGATAAAAGACTGGAATGGGTTATAAAACACCGCAATAAGGCAACAGATGATTGGAGAAAGGTATTTATTTCTTAAACATGTCATGCTCTGCTTTATTTCTCGATTTTCTTTAGATTAATGAAAGACTAACATTTTTTGAAATATTTGTTTTCAGGTGTGCTTTTCTCATGAATCTACGTTTCAGATCTTGGACGACAAAGCCTCATTTGTGCGACGAAGGGTGGGTGAAAAATTTAATCCAGACTGCATTATCGAGACAGTAAAACATCCATTGTCAATTATGATGTGGTCCGTTATATGTGGTAAGGGTACGGGAAGGCTTTACATAGTGCAAGGGACAATGAGACAGGGCCAATACAAAGGTATTTTGGAGCAAAAGCTCATTCCTTAAGTCTCGGAATGGTTTCCAGATGGCAAATTTATATTTATGCAAGATTCTGCTCCATGCCATACGGCAAAATCCATTAAAAGGTTTCTTGGAGAGAAAAAAATCCCACTGCTGGATTGGCCAGGAAATTCCCCGGATCTTAATCCTATAGAAAACCTGTGGGAGCTATTAAAACGGGAGGTTTCTTCAAAACAACTGGTGACAAATAAAACC